CAGCAGATAGCATGTAGGAATGCATGGTTGTGTTTAGTCTAACACGGTTTGAGAGAATGGGGGGCAAATCAGGCTGGATGGCGCTGCCTCTGGGCACAGCTGGCGAAATTTCTGCAATTCAAACCGGGACAAAGAATCAGCAATTTTGTTATCCAAGCCCGGAATGTGAGCTGCTCTAATAATGAAATTACCCAACACAGATAACCAAGTGAGGCGCCTTACAAATCTATTAATGAATGGAACTGAAGAACGCCCTTTGTTAATGATGTTAACAGTTGCTTCATTGTCGCAAAAAAACATGATTTGTTTCCTTGACCAGTCTTTTCCCCACAGAAGACATGCAACAACAATTGGGTACATTTCCATTAAAGCAGTAGAAGAGGCATTAGCTGGCAAGGACGACAGTTCTTTTGGCCATATCTCTGCGAACCACTTATTATTAAAATATTCGTGTTTTGGCTTCTGAGATGGGGAGAAATTGCAGTGGTCGGAGGAAAGAACGGAACCCCTGTGGAGATTGAGACTGCACTTCCCAGCATTCTCCATGGGAATGTGATGCCGTCAAAGCTCGCTGCGGTGACGTCATCATCCAGCGCCGCACCTGTCGGACCATGCGCTGGACCTGCAGGCAGCGAGGAGGGAAACAGGCCAACAGCGGACGGGCCGGCTGCATGTGTCGAACCGAACTCCAGGACTTGGATCCTTGAATTCATGGTGGAAAGCAACGACTGAATGCTGGACAGAGCTAACAAGATGGGGTCGTTATTGGCCGGGTAGGCCGAGCTGGCGGCTGCGTCTGGGACTCGTGCTCTTTTGGAAGGCAGCGCAGCGGCTGGAGCTGGGACTGCAGCAGAGTTGCGGGAGCAATTCTTCCTTTTCTCTGCAGATTTCTTAGAAACAGAGTAGTTGGATAGAACTGCGGATGTGGTTTCGGAGTGGATATTCTCCTTAAACAGCGCAAACAGCTCTTCGTGAGATGCCCCTACTGGAGCTGTAATGTTGTTTTTAAACAACACTTCCAGGAGCTTAGGCACTGGCCAATCATCAATGCCGGGAGTATTTGGATTTTTTCTTGCCAAACGAGAGCTCCGGCGGATGGAAATGACACTCTCTTTGTTGGCTTCCTCTGCCTCAGATTGCTGCTGAGACTCCATGATGCAGTCGATCTGCCATGGATCATCATCGTAGGTAGACATGGCGAGCAGTAGGGTAAGTAGAAATGCGTACACGGATAGCTTGATCGTTCTCATAGGGTAGCTTGCAAAAAGGCTTGTAGAGGAAGCAGCAAGAATCGAGCCTGACTTCGTGGCCTGCCTGAACTAACGCTATGCTTAATAGTGGGGTATAAATAAAAGAATAAGTCTTGTACTATTCTATATTTTTCTGACTGTCAACTAGACTAAAACCAATATAATAGATACAATAAATAAATAAATAAAAATAATAAATGTATCAACCTACAAGTATGTGTGCATTTGAAAACAACTACAGTGGCCAGCTGTTTTAGGGAATTAAAAGCTTTTTTTTAAACTGTGTTTTTAAAGGTTTTTAAAGGTTATATATATGAAATTTACTTGCCACAGGATATTGCACTAGAGCACCAGCATCACACACCAAAGCAAAACCATCTCTGTTAGTTTTTCCAATGTCTTTCCAACAATCACCAATGGTAATTTTACTTTGCATATCAATTTAACTTAATAACTTCATCCAAAGTGGACAGAAACAATATAAAATTCACCAAAACTGTTTTTGTTAGTCTTTCCACTGTTCCAACTTGGGTTGAAATAAAGGCAGTTTCAGTCGCTCTACTCAGCTGGAAACGTCTTCAGTAGGAACCACCATAGTCAGTGTAGGGAAGTTAAAATCTATTGAGAGAGAACAACAGACTTATCCTTTAATAGTGTAGGAATTATTGAAAAAAAAGAAATGTATATTAAAATAAAGATGCATGCACTGATGATATATAATACAATGAAAAGGCCATATCAGAGCATCATTAATAATATAACAATCTCAAAAGATATTTTAGTCAGACAACTCACGTTTAAAATGTTTATTACAGCAGTATAGCATATTTAGATTTTGGCGTCTAGGCTACGACCTCATTATTCCCCGCAGATATGTTTACATTGAGATATTGGGGAGTAACGAGCAAATAATTTCAACCACTAGCCGGAGCTTGCAGGTGGATGCTGGGGTGGTGGTGGGGCTTACAGCGCAGCAGGCAGCAATAGGGATGCAGGTCAACAGCAGCATTGACAGAGCAGAGG